CCCTACAAAGGCACTTGATAATGGAAATAGTATCATTCAACATTTTTACAAAACTTAAAACTTATGTGACTACTTTTTTTCGGGTACTAAGGTAATGAAAGTAGAATTTAGTCTGACACCAATTTTCCCATTAATCATTAAAAACCTTCATCATGTCACTTTCAATACAACCTCAAAAGTTCTAAAAGAAAGCAACGGAAAAGTTGTCAAGGCCAAGAACTTTGTTCACAACCAAGGCCCACAAAGCTTTTTTTAACCTCTCCTCACTAAAAGGTCTCTCAACTAGATGAAACTCTTCCAAGAGATTAACACACCAATCAAAGCCCTCTAAAAAAGGAACTACACTTCAAATACCAGCCATTGTCAGTCCAAACAAACATAAAATGTTGCTGAAGAGACAACCAAACACATGAACAAAATTAGCCACAAAAACTTTAATGTGGAAGTGCTCCTTAGACAAATAAGTTAACATCAGCCTTCGCCTCTTTTGCTCAATAATATTTTGGACATAAATAATGTTCATTTGCCTGTGAGACATACTGAAATTGAAACAATGAAAAAAGAAAAGAAAAAAGAGAGCAAAAAAGCAAAAATAAAAGGATAAAGGGAGTAAGCTGCTTCAAAGTTGATATCCCCAAGTAATACAACAAAGCTACAGGAACAAGAACAGGTCAACAAAATTCTGCTTCCCAACTCTTTCTGGTAGAAATAACATAGAGAAATACTAGAATTTTAAAATCTATTAATGCACAAGAGAAATTGAACGTAAGGTTAAAACAACATGCAAACGCCTCAAATATCTCCGAACCTGGAAATGGTTCAGTGATTCACAAAACTTCAAATCTGATTGTGGATCCTGCTGCTGCTGCAGTGGATTTGGTTGTTTATAGGTTCCAGCAGAACAACATTCTAAACTTTCGGCCAATTTAGATGCAAGCTGTAACAGAGGCCTCAAACATACAGCTACAACTCTTTTGTATGTCTCACCAGTTTCTTCAAAGAAGGCAGCTCGCCTCCAGGTGTCAACATTATTCTGACAAACCATACAGAGATCAAGATATGCAAGATACTGTAGAAGGGAAGCAGGAGGGCTCTCTTCCAAAGTCGCAAGAAGAAGCTCACTTGGATTTGTTTCAGCTGCTGCTGATCCTTTAGGTGGTGCAAATACACATCTTTTAGTAAGCAGTACCTACAGGAGAATCAATATCTTGTCTAAAAGTAAGGTTTATTGATCCAATAAGAGAAGAGTAAAAAATTATATAGGGGTCTTGATGTTCTGGTATAATCATAACTAAGTTTATCATTTTTTAAATAACAACATAATCCTTTCGCTGTTCCCTGTTACAAGAATTTCAAAAAAAAATTACAATGGGTTACAATATTTTCTCTGTTTCTCTCTATACCCTTACTACTATTCTTTTACCTCCATCATATTACTCAAAACTATAATATTCCTGAACAAAGTTGCTTATTATGTTTATGTTTTTTATTATTTGATAATCAAATGACACATATTAGACTATCTTTTAAAATTTACTAAGAATCTAGACTTCATTGACAGATATATTTTTCAATACAAGGATGAAATTGTTATTTTTTTAAAACCAGTGGAACTATTAGAAATCATATCCATAAAGATTTCTGTATAATTCAGCCAAAAGAAACTTTCTAAAAGAATATGTTGTAAATGAGAAAGACAAGCTACAGAAATCTTTATACGTTTGAGCAACATTCTAGGAAATATTTCAGTAAATGAAGAGGAAACCAGAAGATGCCAAACTTTTATTTTTTATGCCAGAAACAAACATGATAATTTTTTTATAAAAAAAATCACATTAAATTGAATGTGTTCAATAGGATGAAGATGACAGCATTGCACATACAGAAATCATTCTTTTTAGACTTTCAAAATTACTGATGCTCTATTAGCAACATTTCTCTTAAAATCCAATGAAGTACTCAAATGGCCCTCTGTTATAACAAAACCGATAAGCAGACAAGCAACATGAGCACAAATATATATACACCTTTTTGTTTAAAAAAATGGAGATCACTTAAAGAGTTATGTTCTTCCTTAAATAAAATATTTGCCGCAGCCAGAATGCTAACAAGAACAAGAGTCAGGAAATAACAAAATATATGCATACACAGATACATACACGGTGTGTGTAGTACACACAAATATACAAGAGTAATGCTGCACAAACCTTATGTAAGTGGTGATTCAATTCCCAGCAGAGAAGCACAGCAAAAGTTCCCATGTAAAATACAATCTCCTCGTAAATGAATTCCCGCATTGTCAATTGACTTTTAATCTGGTCAGGCAGAAGCACAAGCAGCAGAGCTGAAAACAGGTAATATACCCCAGAAAGTCTTAGAGCTCGCGTAATAGCTGAAGGGAGCCCCATCTTAAAGCTGAAAAAGGGAGGACGCTAATGACACAGGAAAATGAAATCAGTAATTAACAGTGACATGGCTAGAACCCCAAGTTTTCACATGATTAGCTCACACATTTTCTATCACTGTAGCTTATGTTGTAAAATAAAAAGAGAGGGGACGACAGACCTGAATAATAGGGAAATCCAAAATCCATCGTTGCTTCAAGATGTAAAGCAATCCATAGAGGAAGCCAAAGGCAAAACCCCTAAACCCCACCCTCCCAATCATCTGCAATCCGTCGACACCATAAGCACAGCAAACGGAGCCTATAGCGAGGAATCCAGAAACCGCTGCGGCCGCGAGAAACAGCAGGAAGCTCAACGAGAGCTTGGCGCTGGAGCGGAAGTCAGTGGCTGAGGATGAGGAGGGGCGGAGGAGAGCGAGAAGGAGTTGCAGGGGAGAAGCCGCGCGTACTGGATGGGGAGAGGAAAGGAAGGCGAAAGAAGCAGAGAAGAGGAGCTGAGAAATGTTGAAGACGATGAAGGCGAAAATGGCGGCGATAATGGGGGTTTTGGAAGGAGGTAGCAAGGGAGAGAGAAGCAAAAACTTGAAGATGATGAAAATGGAAGTAGAAGAAATGAATTGCCATATTAGAAAACCCAGCTTCCGATTCTTCACTACCATGTCCGGCGACGACGATGAATGCATCTGCTTGATTTCTTCAGGTTTTGATTTGAATTCAGCCTAACGTTCCGATTTCTCTTATTAGGGTCTGAACTCTTGAAGTTGCTCAAAGCAAGCTTGGTCTTAAAAAGATCAGCATGATTCCTCTCAAGAAAATTATATTAGCCAAAATTACATTTTGGCCCAAACAAATTGTAAAATCTGAAATTCTCTCTCTATTTAAAAATATTATCAATTCTATCCCTAAATTATAAACTTTATTAGTATATAATTTAAGAATTTCTCAATTTAATCCATAAGCTTAAAATTTTATTTTTTTTAATATTTTGTAAATAATTAGCAAAAAAATATTTGCATTACTTGATAAATAAAAATAACTTGAAATTATAATATTTTAGAATTGGAAATTGAAAAAATTCAAGAGTTAATTATTATAAACTTTTTCTTTTTAATTAATTTGGGTTATCATTATCTGCATTGTTTAAATAAAATAAGTTAATTATTTTATTAAAACTAATGGACATATATCATGATCTTTAAATTTTATGAATAAAATGTAGGTTATAAAATAATTTATTTTTTATTAAATTTTTATAATTATAAAAAATATCTGATTTTTATAAAAACAAAAGAATATATTTGGGTTTTAAAAAGTTATTGATTAAGTGATAGATAAGAAGATTATACAACAATATATACATACACATTACTATTTTAAGTACATTTTGATTTTATGAATTTATAATTTTTTATTTTATTATTTTATTCTTAAGACCAACTTTTAATTTTTTTTCCTCTTATTTTCTTTTTTCCCTTAAGTTTTTACATTAAATATAACAAGTTTACTAATATGGTGTTAAATCATAAAGTTATCACTCTTTAAAGTTTTTTTATTGAATTTAACAATTTAGCCATTTTTTGAAAGCTAAATTATCGAAAACTAAAATATGTCAAATACATAAATATAATTCATCATATATAAAACGTATTTTGAAACAGCAATATTGTTAAAACTAAACAATTATCTTATTTTTCTTGTATTATTTTTTTATTATTGAGTTATTTTTCCTATGTGATCAAAGACTCAAAGTCCTCTCTTATTCCTCCTTCTTTGGCACACTATCTGCATTTTTTTTCTTTTTTTTTTCAGACGAGATAAATTGCACAACACATAACACGGTACCAATAAGTCGTACATACACACCCTTTTCTTTCTCTTTTACTATGCAGTTTTGGGTCATCGATTGTGTAATAGCCCCAGAAATTTAAAGGAAATGTATATAAAGAATATAAGTGCGGAAACGAAATAAAAGGTTATGGTTAATATTCCTTACACAATAACTTAAACGTACTAACAATACCGAAAATAAGTCATCTAAAGGAAAATACTTGAAATGAAAGACTATAAAAGAAACTAATAAATACCTAGGTATCTACTCGCCGTCTTCTTGTAGATCAGACTCGAGAACTAAGTTCTCCTGATCTGAAATGGTTAAGTAAGGAATGAGATACACTAGTCCAGTAAAGACATTACACTATATCATTGTCACAGAAGTAAATGTTGGTAGAAAACCAAAAACAACCAATGGAGCACAAGTTTCAAGTAAATTTATTTATCAATAATCAAATCATTTACCGTCTACTTACCTCAGTGGAATTTATAAAAACGACCCATAGAAACAATAATATCGTAGATATCATAAATTTATACATAATCTGTAATATAGTACATGTCATACTTTTATATTTCAATCATCAAACAACAGTTACCCCCTTGTTATCAGTCTACTAGTATCCGTGGGGATCCATAGGGGTCCCAGACAATAAACCTTAATACCCCGTCCAGTATGAGGATGAAGCGGGTCGTCCCCATACTCCGTCCGGTATGAGCGCCAAAATATTTAAAGTCTCCATACCTCGTCCAGTATGAGACAACGTTCCCAGTAGGGTTCCCTATGTACCCGATCCGTCCATCATCTCTCAGAATATCTAGTGAGGTTATCAACTTATCCATTTATTAATTCACATAGTTTTTCTACTTTTTTCTTAGTTTTCCGTTTCTCACATAAACATAAATACTTAAACAAGTAACGAACATCCAACAAGGCAAGCATATCATTGGATTCACAAAATCAAGCCATAATGAAGTAAACAGTGATTCATGCATTCAAAATCATAAAATAAATAAATCACATAGCATACTGCATTTAGACAATAAAATAAATCAAACAGGAACTTGACAGAGAAATATGTCTGGTTCGGGCTCTATTAGCAACCGTAATAATTATGTATATCTATTTAATTCGTATAAATACAGTTTTATCATTTATTAGACTTTAATCCCGTGATAGGAAATAAGATGAAAGGTCCTTACCTAATTCGAAGCCGAAAGCCGAATTTTCACTACGCCTACGGGCAGTCCCTGGGTTGCCTGAATTTTTTTTTTTCAGGAACTGAAACACGCTTACGGTACCTACACATGTCCCAAATAACTCAAAAATCAGACCCAATGCCTATTTGGCCAATTTCGAAATTCTGGCACGGCAGCTCCGCGGTGCTCCGGCGGCGATCCGCCTTGGGTTGGCTGTTTTCGGCCAAACTCGCATTGGTTCCTGTGAGAAAACACCCCTAGGGTTGTCGGTGGGCCGAAAAAACACCGAAAACTGAAACTTACTGGCGGCAAGGCTCTCCGGTGCGGCGGCTCCTCCGGCTCGAGTCGTCATTTGGTGTTTTGCTCCGGTCAACCTGTAGAGGAAGGAACGGTGGTTACAATAATGGAAAAATTACATCGAACAGGAATCGAAAAGGGCCTCATCGGAGGCAAAAATCAAAAAAACTCGTGGCCAGTGCCGCTGGACTTCGGCAGCGTTTTTCGGCCAATTGGCTGGTGTTTTGGCTCCGATTTGGCCACATGTGGGTTTAGAATCGAATTCTAAGCCAAGGGAATAATTTTTACCTCGTTTGGCGGCTGAAAAGTGCTCCGATGCGGCGGCGGGTGGAGGCGGTCGGCTCCCCGGTGGCTGGATTGTCTTCTTCGGCGAGGGCTCTGGCGGCTAGGGGTAGGGTTTAGGTGTGGATGAGATTATTTATAACCTTCCGCTTTTAATCTGAGCCGTCCATCGCTATTTAATCTGGACCGTCCGATCGCGATTAAAAAAGAAATGAATCTGGACCGTTCATCGCGATGCAATCTGGGGCGTCCGTGCATGATTCAATCTGGGCGGTCCGTGCGCATGCGATCTGGGTCGTCCGTGCGCGCTTTTAATCTAGGCCGTCCGTGCGCGCGAGAACGGATCTCAGCTGTTCGATCGCACGTACGCAGATCGCCCACGTGGCTCCCTTCCGTGTGGCCTCCAGTGTCAGCGTCTCTGCCACGCGGTACGTTCTGGTTGGTCGGGGCAGTTGACGTGGTAATTTTTTAAATTGTATTTTGACCCCCGATTTTTAAATTTTTTTTAAAAATACCCCCAAAACCTAAATTTTTACCCATTTTTTTTCCAAAATTACTTTGAATTAAATCCCTAAAATAATTTTACTCCTTATTATTATTATTATTATTATTCTTTCTATTTAATTAAATTAAACTAAATTAAAACTATATAAAAATTCATATATTCATATAAAAATTACAAAAAATCAAAATAAAAATAATACCAATAATAATAATAATAATAATTGGGGTGTTACAGACTGAATCAATTCTTTCAGTTTTCATTCTCTTTAAACAGTATAGTAGATGACATAAAAAGATGATTATTTTTTATTCTTTTCTCTTCAAATAATATACTTTTCTTTCTTCTCTTTTATAGTTCTAACTTCAATTTTTAAGTGGGAGCATTAAAAAACCATCAAATAGGCTTATAAGAGGGTAAACCATTAATTACCTTCTCTTTCTTCTTTCTTGCACATTTCAGATGTAGACTTATAAAAATGCATTAAAGACTTAATTGAAAATTAACCCAACTCTCAAAGTGATTACTACTAAGAAGTGGTCAAAGTAAAAGACTTGAAAATTAACTCAAGTTAAAAAGTTATTGAATGTGAAGACATTAAAGAAATTTGGTTATTAACCTGGCAGAATAAACTCAACATATTCAATTTCAATTTTCTTACCTACTTCATTTATTAAATCAAGAGCTGTATTCCAAAAGCAAATGAGATGCCTTCAAGTCTCTCTATGGGCACAACTTGTAAAGAATTAATCTAGCTGTTTTGATCTATCTGTTAAAACTGTGGATAATGTAGTTATGAAGAATTGATTACTCTTTCTCTCTCTCTCTCTAAAAAACCAATAACCAAATAGTTGTCTATGGATTTCTTCTACTAAAAGTGTATGTAGGGTTCTCCTCGGTGATTTGATAAGTTAAAAATTATGAGTTGTCTTACAACTTAAAATTGAATGTCTATTTATAAGGTAGATCATGCGAATAATAAGATAAAAAAATAATCTACTAATTAATGGTAAAAATTACGTAAGAAATTAAATCTAAACTAAAATAAAAACTAGTAAAAATTAAGAAAATTACAATTAAAATAGGATAAATATAATTTTCCTATGAGAAAAAAATTTTAAATGGGGAATATTTTAATTAATTGTGGCTAATTTAGGAGAAGAAATTCTATCAAGATATTTTTCTCTTTCTCAAGTATTTTTCTTTTCCATGAGATTTGACATTTAAGGAGTTTTCATCTTTTTCAAGATAACTTGCAATTTATAAGCAATTTTTCCTCTTGACTGATCTTTAATTGTGAAGATTTTCTATATGATTAGGAAATAAAACTCTATGGGGATTTTTCTTTTTTCATGTATTGCAAAAAATTTTCTTTTTCTTGTTTATTTTTCCCTTACACTTGGAGTGAATGGTATATACTATTATATCCTTGGGTTAACGGTCATGTTGTCTTCTTTTCTTGGGCATCTTTACTGAGTCCAAACCCATCTTCCTCATTGATCCATGCTTGGATAAAAAGTTAGAACACTTGTTGTAATCTTTTAGCTCTCTCCTTTGTGTTAGGCCCACTTGGTATTGAGATATCATCTCCGCCAACTTGATCCATATCCATGCTCACATCGTTCCCTCCCTCTTCAAAAAGAT